TGCTTTTATTTGTCTTCACGCTGACATCCTAAGGGAGCAACTTGAAGCTCAGAAAGCCTAATGTTACGTCCTAAACCAGGGGAGCACAGTCATTTGTCTAAACGACAGTGTGTTAGGTAGGCTATTTCCTGTCAAAACTGCCTAATTGATGGTACCTATCCGGAGGTGAATCAAGGGGGAGTAAGGCAAAGTCGGCCAAGAGTACAGGAAAAACATCTAGGAACTACAACTGGCTGATCATGGATGCTTATGCTCTGATATATATATATATATATATGTATGCATATATATATATATATATCCGAAAGGACTTGTTTACATGACACAACCTACTGGTTCTCGGGACATCCTGCTTTCGCAAGTCACTGCAGAGCAGCGAAGAAACAGCGATTTGGTTGCCTCTGTACTGGATAAGTAGATGAGCAACCCATCCGTACTCCCACTTACTTATGATCGGATTTTAGTCTCACGAATGTGGCGTCGTCCACCTGGTTCACGAAGAAGCCCCTTGCATAGACCGTTTCGTATGCATCAGATTCACCTAGTTTATGGAGGACTGGTTACTTATCACGCTCTTAGAATCAATACTAATGTCGGCGTCCTGGATGTTTCCCATATGTATTGCCTGTGGTAACAATGCATTTCACGGGGATGGTACTGGTACATAAAATAACACAAGTTTGTAAAAACGCAGGAATAATTGGAAAACTATCGTACACCAGTAGCCAGATTGATTGAATGGAAAATGCTACATAGCGGCATCGTACCTCTTTCAGTGCGGCTGATTTTTAAGCGGTTTTATAAAATCAAGTCGTCAAAGCAAGTCAAAATAAGCTTTGTTTACCCGACTGAGCATAGTTTCAGCATACTTTTCCGCTACAATTGCGGATAAGAAATTTGGGAAAGAATGTCTACTTAAACGACAGGCAAATGATGATATATCTTGTAAATACGTTCACTCAAGCAAAAATTCACTGCGTAGCAACAGATATCTTCCTAGCGTGAAATAGAAGAGGTGATAAATAACGCAAACAGAGTTATGATAAGAAGCGGTGAGTGAATATAGAACCATAAATTTTAAATGTGTAAATGAGAAGGGACGCATTCTTAACAAAGCAGCCTGGAGTGTGTGACACGGATCATATAAAATTTGTGTAACGCCTCAGAAACAATGAAGTTTAAAAAAGATTACGGATAATCTACCGCATTTTGAGATAAGCTTACTCGAACAAAATTTGTAAAATACTTTTGAAGAAGACCAGGGAAAATAACAGGCGAGCAATGCAACCTATGAGTGCAAATTCAGGTAACTAAGGATTTGTAAATTAAATAGCCTGGTACTGAAAACATCTTGAGTCACAGGTCATGAAATGATAGTTCCCTTACCTTACGAAAAGTTTCGTCGATGTGTGAAGATCACGTTATATTTTGGGATAAAAATACACCAACATACCTAATAATGGGTGAAGCAGGTATAATGCATGCGTAACCAACATTGGGGCTGGAAGCATTGGGTAAACGTTAATGTTTGCCGGCGTGAAGAAGAGAAAAGTCTAAGTCTCGCACTCTGAAGCGTTGAGTTCAAGGGATCGGGAAGATGACCACCGTTCAAACTCGTCCAATTCTTTTTGCAGCGACGAAAATGATTGTTGGTGGGAAAGGCGCTTCCTAAAACAACGTTGTCGGCTTTTTTGCCTCAAATAAAACCCGATAACATAGGACGTTACTGGGTTTACAGAGAAAAAATGGGAGAGAAGTTTGCCCCCTGTAAAAGACCCTACTTATCAAGATTGGAGGGCATTTTGCGGTTTATTTGGAGGAATTGCAAGCGATTTGTAAAATAATTTCAAATTAGATTGCACTTTGCAGGTTGGACGCCATTTGTGAAAAATAGGTTGAGAAGCAGTGGTCTATTGACAATCCAAAAAGCGTTTAAATAATCCACGAAAAACAGACGTACTGCCTTACAGTTAACATCTAACGCAGATGCTATTGTGTAAATGAGATAGGCCACTGTATCCAAAGTTGAGCTTTTGGGTTTGTAACCCAACTGAAAAGCACCATTAGCTTGGTTGCTTGTAGAAACCAAAGGAATAAGCATTCGTTCTAATACTTTCAGCATGACAGATGTGCAAGCAAGGGGAGGACATTTCTGGGCTCATTTTTGGAACTGGCGTTATCCTGACGGGTCTCCAAATGCCGGCGATAGCGCCAATGTGTAGGTAAAGTTGGAACACATGTGTTAAAGATAAGATGTGGAGGTCTGCGCACTCCTATAAACTAACCGGTAATACAGCATCGGGTCTTCCGACCTTCCTCACACTCAGCCTCTTGAGTGTTGGAATGCAAATTTGGGCCCAGCTGCTGATAGTGATAGCGGTGTATTGATGGCCGAGAGCAGACGTTTTGAGGGGTATTTCGGAATTTAGAGTTGAGTTGATCGATATCTACAGCCTCTGGATGTTTGCTGGAACCTTTACCATTCAATTGTTTCAACAGGCGTCACAGACCACGGCAGTTGTTGTTGTTGTTGTTGTTGTTGTTGTTGTTGTTGTTGTTGTTGTTGTTGTTGTTGTTGTTGTTGTTGGATAAAATGGCATGAATATACAGGTCATTCAGTCGTAGTATCACAGATTTTAAGGCTGAAGAAAGTAAATTGACACAGTCGGGCTGTTTCCATTTGTATGCACATTCTTTCTGCCTTATAAATTGCTTGAGTAATGTAAAGGAGAACCGGTCTGCCCATAAATAAATGGTATTACTTGTGCAGCATAGGTCGAAGGTGAAGTTGTGATAGTCACTGAAATGTTCACATTGAACGGACAAATTGTCTTAGTTGAGAACAGTAAAATCAGTAAAGAAATACTTTGTGTGGAGCTTCGCGATTTCGGACATGAGAGAGTCTCGTCACCTGATAGTTTTGGATGGTTCATGAGCCAACGAAACGGGGGTTTGCCTTACTGTAAGTAATAGGGCATACCTTTATGATGCAATGCTCAGCGTTGCTGAGTGTAACCCTACGTTGCGTGGAAACTAGTCACGCTTGGTTTATGAAAACAGGGTCTAATTTCGCTTCTAGTCTAGTTGGAAAAGCCATTATGTTCTGCAGATCAAATACCCGAATAAAATTGTTATCGCATTTATTGAAATCCCCACCAATCACACAGAGAATGTTCGACCTTCGTTAGTAAATCCGTGGATAACTCATCAGCAACTAAGTTTTAGTTGGGACGCTGGTATGTCAGGAAATACATATAGGTTTCCGACGAAAATAGAACTAAAACCACACAATAATCGTGGCTTGCATTCAAACAAGTGACAGCTAACAGCAATTGATTGTATGTGAACAGTAAGGCTGCCGAATTGCACCAGCATTGGTTGAGGTAAGTAATTATATCTCGTCCACGATTTTCGGGTCATCCTGCTCGATCGGACCTGATGATATAATATTCAGTGAGTTGAATAATTCCGTCCTCTATCAGAATGCAACCAACTTTCTTGTGAAATAAATATGGCGGCATTTGAATATTAAGTTCGATACAACAGTGTGGTAAGGTCCTCGATTTTTCCTAGTGTTGATCGAAGAGCGCTGGAGTGGATCATTTGTACTTGCGTCCGGTTAAATGAACGAGGTCTTATACTGACTTGCCAACCAGCTGGGTGCTTGCTCATTTTTACAGACTGCTTCTTCAGAATTCGTTTAAAGGAGTACTTGAATTTAAAGGAATATTCAACAACTTTGCTGGTAAAAAGCCATGTCGCTGTAATATTCCTCCGGTCCGCCCTTTCAAGCTTTTCAATGTCCAAATAATACGACGGACCGTAATAGATATTTAGAGCTGCAACACAAAAGATACCGTGTAGACAGATAGATGCTAAAGCAGATAGTAAGAGGCAGATGTAAGGAAAGCAGCTAAGGAAACACGGAAGAAGGAAAAAGCGTGCCGGAGATTAATAAGAGAATAAGAATAACAGGAAATATAACTAATCAGCCTCTTACCTGATAATGTGTTACGGTGACGCCCGCGGACCAGCTATTTCGTGAAAAGTCGAAAAATTATACAGTGTATGAGATTGAGGTCATCAACATAGATCCAGTAAAACAAAATTGCAAAAGGATTCATGAAAAATTAACGACTCCGCAGCAACTACTATAAAAATGAGTTATTAACAGCCACGACCAATTTGAATGCCGCTCCACACATGTTATGTGATAAAATATCGACAAGCGGATCACAAGACAAGGAACTTCTGGCGCGATCATCATTTATGTAGTTTACGTCCAATTTAAGAATACAGGAATCTTCCTTATCCAATAAGTGAAATGAACCCCAATTTACTTGTAGAGGTGCAAGGGAAAATAAATATCTATTAGCGATTGGATGCCGTAATCCAAACCAAGAAGTGATGATGTTGGTGAGTCACACGAGTACCTGCATATCTGTTACAGGCACAGACGACAGTTCCTTCTACAAGAGCAACAATAAAATCGTTTGCAAATAAACGAATTCTTAGTGCGCAGAATCTGGTGAATTGCAAATTGAAAGTTGCGGAGACGTAATATACAAATTTTCGTTGAAAATTGTATTCCTATTTCCTTTTTTAGAGTGTTCCTTAATACACCGAAATATAAAACGTCGGTCACCTGTGGGGACTGCTTTTAGCTTACATGAATAAAAGAAACAGTCGAAATATGACTTATGCGTATGAGGATGTTATTTGTAACTTTAATGTATTTGACCCGGCAGCTCACAGTCGAAATAGTCACAAAACAACCAATTCCTTTTAACTGTGACAGAGCACAAGAGAAGAGTTAAAATGTGCACAGTTTGCACAAACAGTCAAAAACAAACCAGTTTCAAACTGGTAGCCTGCACGACCTCAGGAATTTCTAAAGCAATTGGTAAATGAGTGTTTGAAGACATTTTACTAATTTCCCATATAAATATTCATACAGCTGTTGTGTCACTTGGAAACCAGCGACAATGATGAACAAATTGATGTTGGGGCTTGTCGCATTGCTTCAATTAGCGACGAGTGTATGGAGCACTGATTTCACTAACTGTGGTGAGTTGAACGCGTGATAGCCGATGATCATTCCTTCGAATGAACCATGGCAATTGGACAGCGGTGCGCATGTGTGTTTTAGACATTGTAACCTGTCAAGTTACAACTGATCTTAAAGGTTCCTAATGAAATTGCCAACTGTGTTTCAGGATCCCAGATTGGATCGCTGGTCAACCTGAGTGTGGTGCCATGTAACACCGATCCATGCGAGGTGTTTAAGGGGGAGAGGAGTTTCCTGTATATCCAATTTACGGCAAGTAAGTGTTGTTGTATTCCTTACTGCACTTCTCAAGTCGACTCACTTTCATTGTTGCCTTAATTATACCAATCTCCTTTCATATAGGCACCTTGATCGAAAGCGGTCAGGTGAAGGGCTACAGGAGTGTCGGTGGACCTTGGCGTAGTATGCCAATTCGGCGGACCAACCTTTGTCGGTACACGCAACCTAGATGTCCAATTCAACCGAATGGAACTGTTTACACGTACACGTACATAATGCGCCCACTAAGAAACATCCCATCGGTAAGTTTCGACATAAATTATGTAGTCGGTTATTATTTATAAATCAGTGAGGGCAATTCTTTGGGTATTGACCGAAATTACTTGTTTTCATCAAGCTAGCAGAAACATCAGTGTCGCGAAATGTTAAATAGATGAAAACCCACTGTTCCCTGTGCGAGTGGTGCGGGCCAGTTGCTTATTTTTCAGTATCCATCTACACGGCCAGCTGTGTTTTAATGACATCTCATAGGCACATAACTTCTAACTCCTCTGGTGAGTCTGTCAACCATTGAAAAACAAGAAGACCACACAAGCTCTGATGGACCATTTATAAGAGCGTCAACTTAATTTAGGTAGAGATTTCTAATTAATTTGCCATATACGGTACTGGCTGGGACCCAGTTAGTTTCACTGGGGCAAAAGTATAATCATTACGTACTCACAAACCTACATCCGTTCGTCTTCAACTTGCATAAATTAGTAACATATATGCAAGAGGGCTTATTATAGTGTCAAGTGTATGTCAGCCTTGTCTTCTATCTTAATTTAACTCATCATTAGAATGAATCCCTGAGTTCATTCGTCCTTATGATGTTATTTGTCGGATTACGCAACAATCCCCCCACTCCTTTCCAGATGCCTTTAAGAATGAAATGGCAACTCTTATCCAACAACGAGACAATGGCATGCGCGGAAATTCAGATTGAGATTCGAAACCGTCCCACGTATTGAATTGGGTAGACACCTGTTTCTGATCCGCAATGAAAAGCATACAACTGTGATTCTGTTTCGAATTTCCACCATCTTCCATTCCTAGTAAATAGAGCAAATATAATGTGTGGATAGATACTTTGGCATGTGCTATGGCTAGTTGAACGAACTGAAGGGCGCTATATAATGAGAGCCTGCTCAATTTTACTCTGTAATGATGGGTCCATGAAGACTTCCTTTACAATTTTGCTACTGTATCACACATCCTTTAATTTGAGGATTTACTACCTCTGAGAGGTTCCGCGGAATCGTATGCAGCCTGGAATTATCTGTGTCAAGATAGGAGGAAATTCTCCTGTTTTATATATGAACCGTCTTTTTGTCCGTGGTAAATATCATGTGAACGGATATAAGGTTTACTTAAAAGAATCAATATTTTATATTACATTCTTAACGTGATTGCCGCAGAACGCAATTAGTTGCAGATGATCGGTCTAATCAACTACAAGATATCAATGAAGATCTTAGAAGAACGCATCTAAACGCCCCAAGGTGTGTAATTAAGCCGCTTCCATAACTAACGATGTTTCTGTATTCATAGAATTTGCCCCTTGTTTCAATTAAACAAACACCCCATTGCATCCAAATATTAGCCAATGGGTGTAAACGCGGAGACTTGGGGACTTCTTATCTACTGATCCATTCATCTGAAGTGAGGTAGCCGCTTGTTTTGTAACATTAATCAGTCGCTTACTGTTGATTGGATACTGCCATCCCATCGTTCACTTTTCGTGGCCACCAGCATCGTTGACATTGGTAAAACGCACCCTATCTCGCTCATTGTGGTCTTGCCTGCCTCAGCCGATGTGAATTACAAGTAAACTGTTGAAGAACTTGCCTCAGGAATGCTTTCTCAGTACCTGAGTCCCCTCACCTCAACTCTGTGCTTTAGGATTATCTTACCGTCAGTATTGACTTCATAACTTCTTTTTCCGACATTCGCAGTCACAACAGCAATTTTCCATTGAAAGCGGTCACTCCGTATTGACTGAAGGTACAGATTGTCGTTTACGGATAGCTTTGATAGCGCCCGTATACCCGACTGTAATACCATTTCTGAGCTGCTATCCGTATTTTAAACACATTTGACATTTGAAAAGCACGGAAAGGTGACGAAGGCTGGTAGATGCATGCATTTCGTATTGTCTCCTCAGTATCAATGATGAACGCGCCCCAGCATAAATTCGTTCGTTGGTTAGTGAAGTTACTAGCTCCACTGAAACAACAGTTCAATCTGTAGTCTAAAAGACTCGTTTCAACTCATCAATGACCTGGATGAACTCAACTTTCAGAAAAACTCATATGTTCATTGGATATAGAATCCTTATTTACCAATGTGCCGCTATATCAGCCTGTTGATTATGTGTGTTAATTAGCAGAAAACGGTGGCTGCTCGCTGCCAGTTCTGACTGAACTGCTAAGACAATTCATACTATTATGCACGGAGAATGTGGATTTTCATTTCCGGATTACACCATACCGTCAGATTGACGGCGTAGCAATGGACAGGCCATTAGGTTTGTGCTTGCTGGTTTCTTCATGCTGATGGTAGAAAGAAGCATTCCTACAGAAATCGCCCAGGTGCCCTACTACAAACGATATATCGATGGTATTTTGGCTTTCTGCTCGTCGGAGCAGCAGCTCACACATTTGGTAGAACGGCTCAATGGTGCTCATGCTAAATTACAGGTTACATGCGAAATAAAACAGAACAATTGTCTGCCATACCTGGACATACTCATAAGTCGCAGGGATGATGGATTGATTAAGTGGTCCATTTACCGAAAATCGACTTGGTCCGGTCAGTACCAGCACCTAACCAGCTTCACACCAGTGCGGTACAAACGAGAATAACAGGAAATATAACTAATCAGCCTCTTACCTGATAATGTGTTACGGTGACGCCCGCGGACCAGCTATTTCGTGAAAAGTCGAAAAATTATACAGTGTATGAGATTGAGGTCATCAACATAGATCCAGTAAAACAAAATTGCAAAAGGATTCATGAAAAATTAACGACTCCGCAGCAACTACTATAAAAATGAGTTATTAACAGCCACGACCAATTTGAATGCCGCTCCACACATGTTATGTGATAAAATATCGACAAGCGGATCACAAGACAAGGAACTTCTGGCGCGATCATCATTTATGTAGTTTACGTCCAATTTAAGAATACAGGAATCTTCCTTATCCAATAAGTGAATTGAACCCCAATTTACTTGTAGACCTGCAAGGGAAAACAAATATCTATTTGCGATTGGATGCCGTAATCCAAACCAAGAAATGATGATGTTGGTGAGTCACACGAGCACCTGCATATCTGTTACAGGCACAGAGAAAAGTTCCTTCTACAAGAGCAACAATAAAATCATTTGCTAATAAACGCTTTATTAGTGCTCAAAAACAGTGGTGAATTGCAAATTGAAAGCTGCGGAGACGTAATATACAAATATTCGTTGACAATTTTATTCCTATTTCCTTTTTTAGAGTATTCATTAATACACCAAAATATAACGCGTCGGTCACCTGTGGGGACTGCTTTTAGCTCACATGAATAAAAGAAACAGTCGAAATATGACTTATGCGTATGAGGATGTTATTTGTAACTTTAATGTATTTGACCCGGCAGCTCACAGTCGAAATAGTCACAAAACAACAAATTCCTTTTAACTGTGACAGAGCACAAGAGAAGAGTTAAAACGTGCACAGTTTGCACAAACAGTCAAAGACAAACCAGTTTCAAACTGGTAGCCTGCACGACCTCAGGAATTTCTAAAGCAATTGGTAAATGAGTGTTTGAAGACATTTTACTAATATCCCATATAAATATTCATACAGGCGTGTCGCTTGCAAACCAGCGACAATGATGAACAAATTGATGTTGGGGCTTGTCGCATTGCTTCAATTAGCGACGAGTGTATGGAGCATTGATTTCACTAACTGTGGTGAGTTGAACGCGTGATAGCCGATGATCATTCCTTCGAATGAACCATGGCAATTGGACAGCGGTGCGCATGTGTGTTTTAGACATTGTAACCCATCAATTTACAGCCGATCTTAAATGTTCCTAATGATATTGCCAAATGTGTTTCAGGATCCCAGATTGGATCGCTGGTCAACCTGAGTGTGGTGCCATGTAACACCGATCCATGCGAGGTGTTTAAGGGGGAGAGGAGTTTCCTGTATATCCAATTTACGGCAAGTAAGTGTTGTTGTATTCCTTACTGCACTTCTCAAGTCGACTCACTTTCATTGTTGCCTTAATTATACCAATCTCCTTTCATATAGGCACCTTGATCGAAAGCGGTCAGGTGAAGGGCTACAGGAGTGTCGGTGGACCTTGGCGTAGTATGCCAATTCGGCGGACCAACCTTTGTCGGTACACGCAACCTAGATGTCCAATTCAACCGAATGGAACTGTTTACACGTACACGTACATAATGCGCCCACTAAGAAACATCCCATCGGTAAGTTTCGACATAAATTATGTAGTCGGTTATTATTTATAAATCAGTGAGGGCAATTCTTTGGGTATTGACCGAAATTACTTGTTTTCATCAGGCTAGCAGAAACATCAGTGTCGCGAAATGTTAAATAGATGAAAACCCACTGTTCCCTGTGCGAGTGGTGCGGGCCAGTTGCTTATTTTTCAGTATCCATCTACACGGCCAGCTGTGTTTTAATGACATCTCATAGGCACATAACTTCTAACTCCTCTGGTGAGTCTGTCAACCATTGAAAAACAAGAAGACCACACAAGCTCTGATGGACCATTTATAAGAGCGTCAACTTAATTTAGGTAGAGATTTCTAATTAATTTGCCATATACGGTACTGGCTGGGACCCAGTTAGTTTCACTGGGGCAAAAGTATAATCATTACGTACTCACAAACCTACATCCGTTCGTCTTCAACTTGCATAAATTAGTAACATATATGCAAGAGGGCTTATTATAGTGTCAAGTGTATGTCAGCCTTGTCTTCTATCTTAATTTAACTCATACATTAGAATGAATGCCTGAGTTCATTCGTCCGTATGATGTTATTTGTCGGGTTACTCAACAATCCCCCCATTCCTTTCCAGATGCCTTTAAGAATGAAATGGCAACTCTTATCCAACAACGAGACAATGGCATGCGCGGAAATTCAGATTGAGATTCGAAACCGTCCCACGTATTGAATTGGGTAGACACCTGCTTCTGATCCGCAATGAAAAGCATACAACTGTGATTCTGTTCCGAATTTCTATAATCTTTCATTGCTACTAAATAGAGCAAAATCTCATGCGTGCATAGAGGCTTTGGCATGTGTTTTGGCCAGTTGAACGAATTGAAGCGCGCTACATAATGAGAGCCTGCTCAATTTTACGCTGCAATGATGGGTCCATGAAGACTTCCATTACAAGTTTTGCTAGTGTATCACACATCCTTCAAGTTGAGGAATTATTAGCTTTGAGAGGTTTCGCGGAATCGTATGCAGCCTGGAATCATCTGTGTCAAGGTAAGAGGAATTTCTCCCGTTGTACATAAAAACCGTCTTCTTGTCCGTGGTAAATATCAAATGAACGGATATAAGGTTTGCAAAAAGAATCAACATTTTATATTACATTTTTAACGTACTTATCGCAGAACCCAATTAGTTGCAGATAATCGGTCTAATTAATTTAGTGATATCAATGAAAGTCTTAGAAGAACGCCTCTAAAAGCCTCAAGGTGTGTAATTAAGCCGCTTCCTTAACTAACGACGTTTCTGTATTCATAGGATTTGCCCCTTGTTTCAATTAAACAAACACCCCAGTGCATCCAAATATTAGCCAATGGGTGTTAACGCGGAGACTTGGGGACTTCTTATCTACTGATCCATTCATTTGAAGTGAGGTAGCCGCTTGCTTTGTAACATTAATCAGTCGCTTACTGTTGATTGGATACTGTCATCCCATCGTTCACTTTTCGTGGCCACCAGCATCGTTGACATTGGTAAAACGCACCCTATCTCGCTCAGTGTGGTCTTGCCTGCCTCAGCCGATGTGAATTACAAGTAAACTGTTGAAGAACTTGCCTCAGGAATGCTTTCTCAGTATCGGAGTCCCCTCACCTGAACTCTGTACTTTAGGATTATCCTACCGTCAGTATTGACTTCATAACTTCTTTTTCCGACATGCGCAGTCACAACAGCAATTTTCCATTGAAAGCGGTCACTCCGTATTGACTGAAGGTACAGATTGTCGTTTACGGATAGCTTTGATAGCGCCCGTATACCCGACTCTAATACCGTTTCTGAGCTGCTATCCGTATTTTAAATACATTTGACATTTGAAAAGCACGGAAAGGTGACGAAGGCTGGTAGATGCATGCATTTCCTATTGTCTCCTCAGTTTCAATGATGAACGCGCCCCAGCATAAATTCGTTCGTTTATTAGTGAAGTTGCTAGCTCCACTGAAACAACAGTTCAATCTGTAGTCTAAAAGACTCGTTTCAACTCATCAATGACCTGGATGAACTCAATTTTCAGAAAAACTCATATGTTCATTGGATGTAGAATCTTTATTTACCAATGTGCCGCTATATCAGCCTGTTGATTATGTGTGTTAATTAGCAGAAAACGGTGGCTGCTCGCTGCCAGTTCTGACTGAACTGCTAAGACAATCCCTACTATTATGCACGGAGAATGTAGATTTTCACTTCAGAAATACACCATACCGTCAGATTGACGGCGTATCAATGGGCAGGCCATTAGCTTTGTGCTTGCTGGTTTCTTCATACTGATGGTAGAAAGAAGCATTCCTACAGAAATAGCCCAGGTGCCCTACTACAAACGATATGTCGATGGTATTTTGGCTTTCTGCTCGTCGGAGCAGCAGCTCACACATTTGGTAGAACGGCTCAATGGTGCTCATGCTAACTTACAGGTTACATGCGAAATAGAACAGAACAATTGTCTGCCATACCTGGACATACTCATAAGTCGCAGGGATGATGGATTGATTAAGTGGTCCATTTACCGAAAATCGACTTGGTCCGGTCAGTACCAGCACCTAACCAGCTTCACACCAGTGCGGTACAAACGAACAGTTGTGAAGTTAGTGTAGTATTGTGTGGTTACTGACGCCAGACGAATTTGTTCGGGCCAACTGTCTAGTGTTAATTACAGCGACAGTAATGGCGAACGGCTACCCTCGAATATCTATCGAGAAACAGAGCTAACCGCGAGGGACAAAGGACTTGGTGCACACGGCAACCAAGGAGAAAGTTTATATCGAGTTACCTTTCAAAGGTGACTTAGCCACGCTGAAGACAACTAAGCGTATAATTTCGGCTGCACAATGAAGTTACTATGCTGCACTAGTTGTCGTCATCAACCGAACACGAAATTCGCCCATACCTCCAACGAAGGAAGCTATGCCTATTGGGGCCAACTCACACTGTGTATACCAATTTGTATGTGACTGCGGAAACAGTTACATAGGCAGAACTAACAGAACGCTGATTTCCCGAATAAAGGAACATGTACCAAGATGGGTTCAATGTGAAGTTACTCAGATTGCCTACCCTCGTCAGATTCCATGTTCGTGCAGACCGCCGGCTTCCTCGATAGGCAAACACCTATTAGACTCGGGTGACCAGATAGAGCTGTGCTCAACGTTTAAAGTTGTGGTACGTCACACTAATCCCCACTTCCTTCGGTTTGCTGAGGCGGTCACTATAAGCCGGATGAAGCCAGGCTTGTGTGTTCAGAAACAATTATTTATCCATGTTGGATGTTTGTGAGTAGTGTAAAGTTTGTAGAAATTAGAAGTCACGATTAACATTGTGCGCCATAATGTGCACCGACAAACTTTACACTACTCACAAACATCCAAAATTAATCTACCATCACCCATTGGACATCCGAAGGACAGGAATTTCTGTCCATTGGGAAGTGACGGGTGAGTGAGGCAATCTGCAACACCAGGACAGGTACTGTTAGATCATTGGCAGTACGTCGCACGCCAAGCAGAAGTTATGTATTCAAACTTGCGCACTTAATCATCAGCCCTCGCTAGCTCAGTGGTAGGGCAACGGACCGGAAATTAGTGGACCGGGGTTCGATTCCATGTCGAGGCACATTATTGTGCAAGAATTTTAATGACGACTTCTACTTTCTGCAAATTATTTATCAGCCTAAAGCTGCCTTGGACGTTGGCGTGAACTTCCGTCATTCGTCTCGTACCTAAAGCTTGTCCGGTTGCACCCACTATTAGCTACATCTATGCATATCGGTTATTGTTAATGGTACTGAGGAAACAATATGAAATACATGCATCTACCAGTCTTCGCCTCATTTGAAATTGCTCGCCCGATGACAACATCGGATGTAATGGACCATCCGAAGAAATTATTGGGCCTCCTGTCCTTCTGAAGACAGACTATTGGCTTAATTGCAACTCTACATTTCCATTTGACTACCCGTGGTAGGGGTTAGTTGGTACTGTGTTAATTGTCGCTTGTTTGAAAAGTACTGAAAAACAACATTTGTAAAATGTAGGCAAGTCTCCGTGATCAGTTCATGCGGTTTACTGTACAGGTGAACTGAGATCTGAGCTTATTAATGATCACATCAGTGGTGTCAGCGTTGACACGATCAATCTCGTATTAGTCGCTGTAGTACTCCATTGTGATTGAATAGGCTTCCTCATTGTCACAGAATAAGCCCACCACTACATTCAATTAGGGTCGATTTGGTGTCTCACGCATCACTCTGTGTAACAAAAATTATTTATTTTCTATGACAAATGCCAATGCTCTTGCCTTGAAGAATATGCTCCACTGATCGTGGAAATATATCCCGAGGTTACCTAGCAAGTCTGGTTATTTGTTATAAGCAAATGATTATTTTTAGTAATGTCAAACCTACGTCTTACGAATTCTATGTAAGTGTACTGTCACAACATATACAGAACGCATGTATGTGGCAAATTCGTTTAAAACATTACTGCAACACCCGCCGCTAACTACTGACTGCATCTTGGCACTGGAAAATGATGAGTTCGCCCACATTGTTGCTTGTATGACCCAGTGCGCTTACGCTGCAGGAACCAGCAAAAGTCACTCATCATAGAAGGTTTGTAAGTTCCAGTGTCGCGCTGCACCATAACCGAAAAATCATAGTGAAGTCGCTCGCCATGCTCAACCCTAACATATCGCAAGTCCTCGAGGCAAAAGTATGTGATTATGCCAAAAGAGCATCTTGCGTGAGGTTCGAGCATCAACAGCCCGATAGGCCGCAACAGGCTTCTTTGTGATGTTATTGTAATTTGCTGCCTTTGTTCTACCCAAAAATCTTGTACACAATACCTTAAATGCTCGCTACGCTTCTAACTCAAAAAAGTCAAATGACATTCTAAAGCACTGTCTGTCAATATCCGTCGAATATCAGCCCCAGTAAGCATCCCTACTTTGAGCTTCCCATCACTGATCTTCGGAAACAATTGTTTCGGGTACCGAAGTGCAAAACTATCTCGTTTGTGGGCTCTGATGATATTTTAAAGCAAACCAAGCTTGATGAGCAGGTCTGGTAGATTGATATGATCAGGTTGCACAAAATTTGTAAGCTTTACACTCACTTTCCCTGCAGCATACTTTGCTCTCTATGGTCAATTTTCGATTGTCTAATGCTGTAGAGTTGCTCCGCTGCCCCATAAGCACAAAAACATCAATATTTTGTGAAACCATCTTTCATATTCATTTTGAGTCCAATGACTTTGAAGTCAGCATACATGTTCCAACAGTACTTATCTTAGTTCAGTGCAGCGAGTATATTTTGTATATTTTCGTAAGTCTCCTTCATATTGATGGCATGCAACAGAGGCTCAGCTGGGTGCACATTTCCACTGTGGAGCAGTATGATCTTAAGTAGACTACTCTTGGACGAGTCAATAAACAAAGGCTATTCCGCAATTAGATGCCTCACGCCAAGCTCCTTCACCAGTCTTTCCACGCCGGAACAGTACCAAAAACTCTCGTTCGTGTCATAGAAACCGGAAAATTTAACACTTTGCTTTCCGCATACAGTAAACTTAGTGTTTCCAACAAAAAAGTGACACTGATGCAGCCGAGATGCCAGCAACTCAGCCTTGTCACTAGGAAACCTCAGGTCACCTACCCAGTCATTCAGCCCTGTTTGTGCAATACTATGTGGGT